GCATTTGCCTCCCTGCATTTTGCCTACATATGCAAATTAACCGCCATCTTGTTGGCAGTTAACTGCCAATCTTAGTTGGCAGTTAACTGTCAATCTTAGTTGGCAGTTAACTGCCAATCTTAGTTGGCAGTTAATTTGCATATAGCCCTGATTAGCCAATGAAAGGGGTATTGGTCGTACGCCAATTACCATTTTTGTCTTTTATTAGATAGGATAGAGGCCCAGTGCACGAGACTTGTGCACTGGGGGAGGGCATCCCTCAGCCCGGCCTGTGACCTCTTGCAACTTGGGACCCCACTGCCTGCAGTGGAGGTGGGAGAGGCTCCTGCCACCACTGCTGCACTCGCCAGCTGTGAGTCTGGCTTCTGGCTGAGTGGCTCTCCCCCTGTGGGAGTACACTGACCACTAGGGGGCAGCTCCTGCATTGAGTGTCTTCTCCCTGGTGGTCAGTGCGCATCATAGTGACTGGTCGTCCGCGGTTCGGTCGGTTTGCATATTATGCTTTTATTATATAGGATAGATTGCACTGATGATTTTTGCGGTTTGTTTTTAGCTTATATTTAAAAGAGCTCACTGTTTGGCTTTCCTTGGAATTTTAAAATGTTTTCTCTTTGAAGGAAAGGCAGATATTGTGGTTTTTCTTACTTTTTTAAAATTATATATCTTATTTATGTTTTTAAATTTTATTTTATTGTTTAAGGTATTACAAATAGTACATATGTCTTCTTTTTTTTTTTCTCCCCATTGACCTCCTCCTGGCTTCCTCTACCCCCCACCGGGCCCCCTACCTCCCGCTGTAGTTTGACAGTCTTACTTTGGTTTATACCTTTTTTTTACTTTCTGTAACTGAGACACTTAATAATGGCATCATAAACCAGTTAAAACTTCAAACTAAAATGAATCAAACATGTTAAAGTTATTTTTAAAGTGTTTATTGTGAGTTAGCATTTGATGAAAATTATGAAATTGCTCTTTAGTAAGTAGAAGCTCTGATTTTATTTACTTTGATATATTTTTCTTCTCCATAGGTAGGATGTGGAGCCATAGGCTGTGAAATGTTAAAAAATTTTGCTTTACTTGGTGTTGGCACAAGCAAAGAGAAGGGAATGGTAAGACAAAAATCTTTGAGAATTAAAGTGTATACATATTTTTTTGGTGTCCACTTTTGAACTACATAGACCTGAAGTATTGAATTTTGAGGATAGGTTATTAAGCTAGAAATTGAAAGATTCTGATTCTACTGTGATCACTTGTCAAAAGTTATGCAACCCCGTGGCAAAATGCTTTAATTCTTTGCTCCTAAATTTCATTCTTTAATACTGTGCAGCTGATATCTGTACAACCTACCTCATAATGTTATTATGAAGATCAAATGTGAAAGAGCTTTGGAAACTTTAAAGTATATAAATATTGTTATTATTTTATTAGATACTAGTTAATTATTAAGTAAATCTTTAAAATGGGAGGAAGTTGAAGACTAATCAGATATAATTTCAGTTAGTGATTATCAAAAGAAGGGAATAATATAAACTCATGTATACAATTTAAATTCTTAAGACTATAAATGTGAGTTACTTGGGAAGCCATGTCATATATTTTAATAAAAATATATTTCAAATTAAGATGTAAACTAGCTTCCCAGAGTATTGACTTCAGATTTGTCATGGTGACTAATAGCGAATAATTTTATAGTTAATTAAACTTGGCTTATTGTTTCAGTCAAAGAGGTTATTCGTTATTCCTGCTCAGTATTTATAAATGTTGTATTCTACAAACTGCTATTAATTCTAGTGGTTTTAAAATACATTTCTCAAAAAAAAAAATCCTTGGTTGCATACATTTGGCAATCACCTGAATACTCTTAACTTCTTATAAATTCACAATGTATATCTATATATATAAAAGCCTAAGCGACTGTTATGACTGGTTGACCAAATGACCAGTCAACCAGTTGCTATGACATGCACTAACCACCAGGGGGAAGATGCTCAGTGTAGGAGCTTCCCCCTGATGGTCATTATGCTCCCACAGCTAACCTCCTATGTCAAACCATCCTCCCACAGTCCCTCCCCACCCCCGGCCAGCCAACCTCCCAGCTCCAATCAGCCCGATTGGGACTGGGTGAGATAGGCCCCAATTGGCCCTGATCACCGGCCTTGCCAAGGAATCCCACCCGTGCACAAATTTGTGCACTAGGCCTCTAGTTAGCATATAAAGATTAGAAAAAGAGTTTCAGTAAACAAACCTACTGACTTAAGGTAACAAAACAAGGTAAGTTAATTGGGACAGATTTTTATCTTATTGCAAAGACATTGACTTGCTGTGTAAAAAAAAATTTTTTAAGTCTTTACATAGGTAGCAAAACTAACTGAAAAGAAGGAAAAAGAAACAAGGTTCCAGGAAACAAAAGAGAAATTAATTCCTAAACTAAAAGTTGTGGTGACTTCTAAGCATTTGTCTTTTTCATTTCTTTTCTTTTTTTTGTTTTGTTTTGTTGATTTTTAGAGAGAGAAGGTGAGAGAGAGGTGGGGGTCATCAATTTGTTGTTCCATTTGTTTATGTAATCATTGGTTGATTCTTGCCATCCAGGGATTGAACCTGTGACCTTGGTGCATTTGGACAGTGCTCTAACCAACTGAATTACCAGGCCAAGGCCAAGCATTTCTGTCTGGAATATTTGTCCAAAACATTAAATAGAAAGAGAAGTCACTCATGACAAATTAAAACACAGAGCATGCACCACACTGGTAAATGGGATCCAAAATTATACAAAAATTTTAAGCAGAGAGTTAATACAGCAAATTTAGGACCATTGAAACCGCTAGAGTTCTGACTAAAACAAATGCAAAACTGCATCATGACGATTCACAATAAAAAGTAAAAATGGAAGAATTAGTACTCTCTAAGTACTATAGGTAATAGGAGTGCTACAGATAATAGAAAAATCTAGAGATAATAGAACAAACTTAAAAATGAAGTTAGAAATGATCAGAGATTAAAGTAAATAAATAAAAAGAGAAATGATCAAAGATAAAAAAGAGGAAAAGAAACTGGGAAAAGGCACTGAAATTTTTCACAAAAAGCCAAATAAGAACTTCTATATAGTAAGTGAGCTCAAAATTCAAATATAGCTGAAGTGAGAATTTATTGGAAATTGCATAATCCAATGTAAGTGCAGAATTTCCATAGAGAATGAGGAAGAGACAGTTTCCAAGGATAATGGCAAAAAGTTTTAACTTTGGATGATAAGTGCATGATGCATTATGCAGATGATATGTTATAGAGTTGTATACTTGAAATCTGGTTTTATTAATGTCATTCCAATAAATTCAATTTTAAAAAGTAAACATAAAGTAATGAAAACTGAGATATGGGCAACAACCACCAAAATGAAAAGAGACAAGTGTGTTCAAACAAATCAAAGGCAAAGAGAAAAAGAGAAATTACCTAATAGACTTCTCATCAACAAGAAATGCATACATATGCCCTGGCTGGTGTGCTCAGTTAGTTGAGTGTCAGTCACTGGTTCATTTACCAGTTAGGGCACATGCCCAGGTTACAAGCTCAATCCCCAGTAGCGGGCTGCAGGAGGCAGTCAATGGATCTTCCTCTAATCAATGTTTCTCTCTTTAAAAATCAATAAAAACATTTTTTTAAAAAAGAAATGCAGCCCTAACCAGTTTGGCTCAGTGGATAGAGCATCGGCCTGCGGACTGGGAGGGTCCCAGGTTGGATTCCGGTCAAGGGCATGTACCTTGGTTGTGGGCACATCCCCAGTAGTGGGTGTGCAGGAGGCAGCTGTTCGCTGTTTCTCTCATCAATGTTTCTAGCTCTCTATCCCTCTCCCTTCCTCTCTGTAAAAAAAAAAGTCAATAAAATGTATTAAAAAAAAAAAGAAAGAAAAAGAAATGCACACCTAAAGATAGGGAATCAGATCTTCACAGTGCAAGGTCAAATTACTATCAACCCAGATTTCTGTACCCAGCTAATTATCCTTCAAGACAAGTAAAGATATTTGACAAGTAAAATGATGAAAAACTATCACTGGTTCTCACTGAAAGAATTATTTTTTATATAACATGACAATTCACGAAGCATGGGTAAGTAGAGACATTTGTCAATATCTTAGACCGACTTTTAAAGCCTTTAAAATATTATCTGATTTGGAAGTGGATGGTTAAAGATAAGTAAAATGTTCATTTATAACATGGAAAATAGAAGGGAAACTTTAGATATCCTCTAATTGTTCAGAAGCAAGATATTTTAATTAATTTTAGATAAATCACATATGCATGTTTAAATTTTGGATTTAATCACATAAAAGTAAATGTTTAACTTGCTTGATCTGTTCCTTTGCTAAGCATTAATTATAATTAAGTTTAAGTATAAAAGAGTAGTAATGGTAATCATTTTTGAATATTTGTATTCATATAATTTTTACCAGCCAAAATAATTTAGAATAATGGTGGGAGTTGTTTCAGTCATCCCCAGAAAAACAATAGATTTAAACTTATTAGTTACATAATTTCAGCCATTTTCTTTTCTTGATATTAGGTTACAATTACAGATCCTGACTTGATAGAAAAATCTAACTTGAACAGGCAGTTCTTATTTCGTCCTCATCACATACAGGTATGTTGCTATGTGTTTCAAATTTAAATCATCTGTTGTGTTATACAAAACAGAAGAGAATTTCCTCTTAATATATAGAAAATGGTGCTTGACAAGCATAATATATTCTTTATTTTTAGAACCTCAAATTACCAAATAATGGGAATGATTATAGAGGAAAATATTTTTTAATATAAAAATTGGTTTTTCAATGATTTTGGATTGTTGTGAATTGTGTGTGGCACACACACACACACACACACACACAGAAACATTTTCTCTAATTTGAAGTATTCAAATTTAGCACTTATAATTTTGTGCTGTATTGATTTTGTCTGATTAATATCCCTTTTTATTATAAAATAATGCTTTTCCATCTTTTTCATAGTGATCCAAATATTTAAGTCAGAAAAAGAAGCAGTTTAGTCAGTCAAGCAAATTTGCTTTTACTTTTGAAAAATTTTTTTATTTTTTAATGACTTGTAATCATAGCTTAAGAATGTCATAAACAGAAAAGTAACTAAAGCAGGTGGCATAGTTAACGTAATTGACTCACTTATCCAAATATAAAGAACTAAATAACAGGGTCTTTCATGAACTATAAAATGTATGTCACAAAATTAATTTACTTAACTGTGCATTTAACTTAGAGAAGAACTTGGCCTATTTATTATTTTACTGAGTTCTAGCAAAGTTTCTGCTTTGTATGTATATTAACAGCACTGAGAAGTAAAAGCATGTCAACTAAACAGTGTGAGAAGAGATAGAAATACCATATTAAAACTATGTTCATGTATTCAAACAGAATGGTTTATACACATTTAGTGTCAAAACCATTGTTTCCAAGTGAACTTTGTTGACATTTAAAATGACACCAATAATCTTTAAAAAAATAATGAATTATGTTTAGGGTACTTTTTTTTTTTTAATATATTTTATTGAATTTTTACAGAGAGGAAGGGAGAGAGATAGAGAGTTAGAAACATCGATGAGCTGCCTCCTGCACTTCTCCTACTGGGGATGTGCCCGCAACCCAGGTACATGCCCTTGACCGGAATCGAACCTGGGACCTTTCAGTCCGCAGGCCGACGCTCTATCCACTGAGCCAAACCGGTTTTGGCTAGGGTACTTTTTTTTTAATAAAACTTGAAACGTAATAATTTTTTTTAATATTTGTATCCAAAAATAGTAAAAATTTTTAAAGATTTTATTCTCAAAGTGTTAAATTACCATATGTTTGAGAGCTTATTTTATGTAGTTTGAATTTCTAATAATGTACTGAATGTATTCTCATCTTTTTCTGGGCATACTTAGGCGATTTATAACTAGGAAGAACAATGTGCTTTTAGTTGGACTTTTAACTAGTTGTTGTTGTTTTTTAATTTATTTGAGAGAGAGAATGAGAGAGAGAGAGAGAGAGGGAGAGGGAGAGAGAGAGAGAGAGAAACATCAGTTTGTTGTTCCTCTTATTTATGCATTCTTCGGTTGACTCTTACATGTATCCTGACCAGGGATCCAACCTGCAACTGTGAAGTATCGGGAAGATGCTCTAATCAACTGAGCTACCCCGACAGGACCTAACTAATATTTCAAGAACTCTAAAGCATTTAGCTGTAAAAGAGAGGTTGTTTAAATTTCAGTGTGTAAATTATTTAGACTGCCAGGCACTATTAAATGTAGTCTGAATACAGTCTGAATGTAATTTCCACAAACTAAAACATAAACTTGATCTCATTCTCACCTCCATATATATTTTCCAGAGTGACGAGAATGTGTAAGTTCAATCATAGGCTGTCTTTTTCTGTTTAACATTTGTTTCTTCTGTTTGTTGTTATTTGTTTAGAAACCTAAAAGCTATACTGCTGCTGATGCCACCCTGAAAATAAATCCTCAAGTAAAAATAGATGCACACTTGAACAAAGTATGTCCAGCCACTGAGGCTATTTACAGTGATGAGTTCTATAATAAACAAGATATAATTATTACAGCATTAGATAATGTGGAAGCCAGGAGATATGTAGACAGGTATGTAATTGAAATTTGGGTTCATTGTCTTTATTTATTTTTTTAATTTTTTAAATGCTTTTATTGATTTTAGTGAGAGGGAGAAAGAGAGATGTCAGTGTGAGAAAACATCAATCAGTTGCCTCCTACATGCTCCCTCCATTCTAAATTAATGGAGCCACAACCCAGGCATATGTCCTGACTAGGAATTGGACCTGCAATCATGCAACCTCTCAGTGCATGGCTTAGTGCTCAGCCAACAGAGCCACACTGGCCAGGGCATCATTGTATTTTTTGTTTGTTTTCACAACTGTTTCCCATGCCTATTTGTTGAAAAGTTACTTAATTTTTTAATTATTCTTTATGTTGCTAATATAATACTTCCCAAACCCTGTGATGATTTCTCATTATACCTAGGATAAAATTTAAAATCTTGAACATGGCCTCAATGTTTTTTATAGTGTCTGTCACTTACTTGTCTACCTCTCCAGCTTAACATTTACCTATTCCTTCCTGGCTCCCCTTATTCCAGCTACCCATTTTTTTTTTTCAATTTTTACAGAGCATTCAGCATTTCTTTAATTATTATTACTAGAAATTCGTGCAAGGGGCTTGGCCCTCACAACTGTGGCGGCTGCCCTCAGCCCTCGCAGCCCTGGCTTCATCCAGAAGGTCGTCCGGAAGGATGTCCAGAAGGTCGTTTGGCTCTCCGGTCATATTACACTTCTATTATTATAGATTTTTTTTTTACCTCAGAGACTTGCACATACTCTTCTTCAGCCTCAGGAAATTATGTTTGTTTTCCCAAAACTCCTGATCCCAAATTTACCTATTTACTTCTCACCTACCTTTGTTTTTTTCTTCACCCTATAGTTGCAATCCTAATGTCTTTCTTTAACTGCCAAATTCTAAATTAAAATATCCTATGGTAATCTTCTATAGCACTAAGTATTTCCCTTCATAGCAGTTACTTTATTGATGCACATATTCATTTAATGTTTTCTTCCTCATTAAATCATTTATTTAGGAACCATTTATTTTCCCATCACTGTATCACTGGTGTTCAACACATGATGTCATTCAGTAAAAATTAGTGAAATAAGAAGAATGAATGACTATAATGTATACATCTTACATAATTTTTCTTACATTTTTATATGCCTCTTGAATGTTAGGGTGTTAGAGCAGATATATTAACAGAAAAATTTATCAGTTGAGAGTATAGTGGAAAGTTTATTTTTCCTTCCGTGGTCAGAAGAAGGAAAAATAACTTTAACAAATTGTATAGAATACAGGTATTATAAATATTTAAGAAGGTATAGTATTATTCGGAATTAAGAAAGTATTGAGAAGATATAGTGGGATAGAACCTATAGCCAGATAGTAATCAAAGAAGAAATAGGAAGCATAAGTAGAAAGGATAACATAGCTAAGAGTTAACCTAATGGAAAACAAGCCCAAAATTGGTGGTGATGGTGGTAGAAGGTAGAGACAAAAATGACTAGATTGAACAACATAATTTGTTGGGGGAAGGGGACAGAAATGATTAATGGGTTGTTTGGTGGTAATGTATGTTTCCTAAAATATTATAGTCCAGTAGTGATCAGTTTGTGAAGTGGTCAGTAGACAGTGGTAGGATTTCCTCTGCCTGCATTGCTATTGCTCACTTTTGTGCTTGTTTCCTATTGTCTTTTCAAATAGCCGTTCTGTAGCAAATCTACGGCCCCTCCTGGATTCTGGAACAATGGGCACTAAGGGACACACTGAAGTTATTGTACCTCATTTGACCGAATCTTATAGTAGTCATGTAAGTGAACCAATTTTTTTAAGTAAATGTCTCTTCTTTATATCTCATCATTTTATTATCTTCATCAGTCCACAAATCTGATTTAGCTTCTCTAATCCTATTTTGATCTGCCAGTGATATTCATACATAAGTGTATGTACAATTTTAAAAATATATCTGAACTGATTTTTTTTGAATCATCAAAATTTTGGTTTGGAGTCTATTCTTTTGTTTACTGTTTATTTCTCAAAGCTGCTTGATTAGTTTTCTAACAACCATTCAACTGTAACTCATGAAATATTAGGGATCAAACTATATATATAGGGTTTTTTTTAACTATAAATGATATATAGATATAACTTTTTTAAACCCCCACACAAGTAATCTTGATATACTGATGAAGCTGAAAATTACTGGCCTAAGAAATAATTGCAGGCTTTAGGTTTTAAAGAAAGAGCAACCTAAGTTGTAAAATTAAAAGAAGTATGTATATTTTTTCTTTTTGTTTTTTTCTCTTTTTTAAAGAAGTATATTTTTTACATTTGTAAATATCCCTTTATTTAATGAAAATGTTTAGCTTAGTAAAATTTCAAATATTTTATATTTTCTCATTTACTCTCATGAAATCAACATTATATAATAAAAGCATAGAAAACAAATTGAGGAATTTAATTTGATGGAAATTAGATGGAGGAAATCATCATATGTTGGTTGTTATGTTGGAAATTTTTCAAAGTAGAGAATATTATAAAATTCCAAAAGTTCTATTGATTCTCTTGTTCTATATCTTTCTCAAACCTTTTCCTGTCTTCTCTGACCTCATACTCAAAATTAGAATTTAATAATCTTCTGACTTACCTCTTTGGTTTATATTTTATGGTATTTCAAAAATCAACAAACTAAAATACAAATATCCATTAAAAAGAGACCAAGTGAGTAATTTACATTGGGTAAACAAATAAGCATAGGCCAAATGTACCCTCTAAAGGATATAGAATTTTTTCAGTGGTTCCTTTTTATCTGAGACAGTATAGACATTTGCCATTTACTTTACACACTTTCTACTCAAAGCTGTACCAAGCATCAAGGACATACTCATGTTTCCCAGTTTTTTTCTCCATGGAGAAACTCATGGTATGCTGAGCACTGTATTGGGGATCCTTGAATTACTTTTCATAATAGGGAGTAGTATAAAGTTTTAAATGTAACCTCGATTCTGGGAGGGGAAAAATTAGTTATATATGGTGGTCTTCCATGAGTACCACACGGTGCCAAAAATGATCATAGAATTCATGTTTGTTGTTACATTGCTATTAACAAGTAGATTAAGTGTCAAAAGAATCAATTTGTCTTCTTGGTGCCTAGAAGAGAGAAGATATAAAAAGGTTGGATTTCTTTTATTTTTGAACGTCATTTCTTTTTTTAATGGTCTTAAAGCATCCAAGTAAATTCAATCAATAAAATATTGCCATTGCTTCTCTTAACTGTCTGTTGTCACATTTTATAAATTAGCGGGATCCCCCAGAAGAGGAAATACCATTCTGTACTCTGAAATCCTTTCCAGCTGCTATCGAACATACTATACAATGGGCAAGAGATAAGGTAATAAAGATATTTGTTAAAGGAATATTTTTTGTAGTAGTAGAAAAGAAGATATTCCCAGCTTCCAATTCGACTTCTGTTTGTAACTTTTTCCCTCTTTTCCATAACAGTTTGAAAGTTCCTTTTCCCACAAGCCTTCATTATTTAACAAGTTTTGGCAGACCTATTCATCTGCAGAAGAAGTCTTACAGGTAAAAATCAATATGTTTTAATACAAACAGCGTTTTGTGTCATTTTATTTAAAAGTTCCCTGCAATTGGTTTATTTTACCTCTTTAAAAATAGATTAATGTGTTTATTATTGTTTGTGGTAAGTACATGAAGAATCTTAAAATTAGCAGGTCACAAATGATCTTTTAAAAAATTATTTTATTTTTTTAGTTTGGTTGAACTATATGGAGTTGCCTATATCTGACCATGTTTGAGCCACAAAACATCAATTCATATGGTTCAACCTAATAAGAGTGTTAGAATTCTAGGAGAGCTACAAATAATAAAACAGCTCTTTGTGAGTTCTAGTGAAACTTTCACAATTGGATAGGAATATCTCAGACTTATACTGTCATGGTGAGGACACGTCAAAGATGTTTTCTTTCTTTCCTTTAATCCTAAAAATGCCAGCTTTTTAGTACAAAACATTATTCTTAGTACTTATTTTAGTCAGTACATACATACTACCAGTAGCTAGCAAAACAGAATAATTTGGGAGACAAGAAACTTTAGAGTTAAAATTTGATGTGCTATTTTTGTGCTGTTTCCTCTCCAAAAAAGAAAGAAAAGAAAGGGAGAGAGGAGACAGGAAAGGACAAGTAGCATGAGATGGCACTTCAAACTGTGGCTAGTGCTCACCTGGGAGAGAGGGAGGAAGGTAGAGATTAATTGGAAATGCATTTGTTTTGTTTTCTCTCATTCTAGAAGCTACAAACTGGACACAGTTTAGAAGGCTCATTTCAAGTTATTAAATTACTTAGCAGAAGACCTAGAAATTGGTCCCAGTGTGTAGAGTTAGCAAGATTAAAGTTTGAAAAATATTTTAACCATAAGGTAAGTATGCATTATAAAACATTTAAAAAAGGTCTGCCCTTGGCTTATTTAATTACTACCAAATTAATTTCATTGACCTGAAATGTCTACTCTTTCTTTCAGGAAGTTTTTCAGAAATAAGTAGTAAATTAACTCAGAACAAGTGCTGAGTACACAACTAATTTCTCTTTAAATGTCACTTATTAAAGAATGCATTTAAACTTCACTAATTGGCTTGTTAGATATACATTTAACTTATCCTTCTCTGTCTACAAAATTGGGTTTTATTAGTTAGAGTTTCCTTCTGGAGTATAAGGAATATATTTCATCAGTAGTCTAAATGTAGTTTGTTTTTAAGAGTAAAGGAAAAGACTGAAAAAATAGAGAAATTCAGTCAGAAATTTTGTGGTAATTTTGCCTTCCCTATCCTGTCTGATAATCATATTTTGTGTTTCCTAATTTGTATAATGGGGGTAATAAGTTGGTACCTAATTCATAGGGCAGTGATGAGGTTCAAATGAGTTAATCTATACTAATAAAAGGGTAATATGCTAATTAAACTGGACATCCTTCCAGACAAAGCCACAGTGGCAGGGGCTGAGGCAGAGGCAGTTAGGGGCAATCAGGCTGACAGGGGAGAGCAGTTAGAGGGCGGTCAGGCTGGCAGGAGAGGGCAGGCAAGGGCCATCAAGCTGGCAGGGGAGGGCAATTAGGGGCCATCAGGCCGGCAGGGGAGAAGTTAGGGGGCAGTCAGGCACGCAAGTGGTTATTAAGTAGTCATAATGCTTTTCTGTTAGCTTTACAAACAGTTGTTTGGGATACAGTACTGCTGTAGGCCCAGTCCAGTGATTATTTCACCCAGTTTTACTATTCCGAAGGTTTGAGGGTTAAGACCTGTAAGGCAGTTCTTCTGGGATGGTAGCTCAGACCCATTTTGAAGTGGCTTCGTTTATATTATTTTTATAATGACAAACTATTAGTGTTAATTTTAAAATAACAATAGAGCTTATTCCAGGTTTTGGTGTGGCGGGGAGAGGGCAGTGACAGAATCCAGAATGGACAGATGTAGTACAAGAGTAACTGGGAGACTTCACTGACATCTTTTTGTGTGTTTTCATTGTGTTTTTTTTTACTTCATTTTTTTTCTTTAGGCTCTTCAGCTTCTTCACTGTTTCCCCCTAGATACTCGATTAAAAGATGGCAGTAAGTATAGCTGAGTATTGAGAAGGAAGTTTAATGTAATTTATTACTGGCTGTCTCAATTTAAAATAATATTTATCTATTTTGTTAGGTTTGTTTTGGCAGTCACCAAAGAGACCTCCCTGTCCAATAAAATTTGATTTCAATGAACCTTTGTAAGTATTTACATCCAGGTTTATATTCATTTGTAAATTTTTAACTTTGTACAAGTTTATCTTACTGGGAAAATATTCATACTTTTTTTTTTTAAAGGAAGCTTTTTTTTTTTTAATATATTTTATTGATTTTTTACAGAGAGGAAGGGAGAGAGACGGAGAGAGATAGAGTTAGAAACATCGATGAGAGAGAAACATCGATCAGCTGCCTCCTGCACATATCCTACTGGGGATGTGCCCGCAACCCAGGTACATGCCCTTGACCGGAATCGAACCTGGGACCTTTCAGTCCGCAAGCCGACGCTCTATCCACTGAGCCAAACCGGTTTCGGCAATATTCATACTTTTTAATGTTAAACATAGTCTGCCCAACCAAGCCAGTCACAACAACCCTTCTTTCCACATAATTTATTTATTCTCTATGGTAAATACCCTCATTATTTTTATCTTTTCTAAAATGAAACCAAAGCATCACCTCTTTGACTTTATCCATAAAAAGTGAAGAGACAACAGATTTTCTCTATTTAATGAAGCTAGAATATAGGAAATTTAAGTTATTTGGGGGTAAGAATAATTACTACTAAATATCTCCCTAAATAACCTCAAATTAATTTTCAAAGGAGTTGGTCTTTGAGTGAATACCTGTATACCTATCCAGATGCGAGATATATATATCCTATCTAATAAAAGAGAAACATGGTAAATGGCATACGACCGCTACCCTTCCCATTGGCTAATCAGGGTGATATGCAAATTAACTGCCAGCCAAGATGGTGGCCGGCAGCCAGGCAGTTTGAAACTAACATGAGGCTTGCTTGCTTCAGTGATGGAGGACTCCAACGTTCCCCGCCTGCCGCTGCAGGCCTCTGAG